TTATTCTCTATGTATTTCATTACTAATAAAATGTGAACTATATATAACACTCGTTTTACATGTGCTCGAAGCAACTGCTTATACTTATATTGTTCCGCGAGTGTCCCACGCGTGATTCTTGCGTAATCATATAACTAAGGGCAGGGCCCCTACACATGCATCTTCTCTTCTCTCTCTCTCTTATTCTCTCTTATTCTCTCTCCTCTCTTATTCTCTCTCTTCTCTTTTCTCTCTTCTCTCTTATTCTCTCTTATTCTCTTTTCTCTCTCTTCTCGCTCTTCTTTCTCTTCCCTCTTCTCTCTTATTCTCTCTTCTCTCTTATTCTCTCTTCTCTCTTATTCTCTCTTATTCTCTCTTCTCTCTCTTCTCTTCTCTCTTATTCTCTCTTCTCTCTTATTCTCTCTTCTCTCTTATTCTCTCTTCTCTCTAATTCTTTCTTTTCTCTTTCTTCTGACCTCGAAAGCATTTTTTATTCTGCCGTAAGCCGAACCTCTGTCACGAGTCATCGTTTATTGATCCAGTGAAACTTCAGGAGGAAACCTAAGCTAAACTAACCGACCATCAGTTCTAAACTGTTCTTTCTTCGATCATTCTTTCAGGTTGAGAAAATTCGGTTGTTGTTGGATAGGCTGGGCATGAGTGAAATTAAAGTCGGTTCAGTGGAAGAATTCCAAGGTCAAGAGAGACTGGTCATTATTATTTCTACTGTAAGTAATAGTGACTAATTTCAATCCGTCAAGCAGGGGTGGAAAACATAGGCAAGACTGCTCGCAGGAAATGTTAAACAGCTGCAGGAAATTCGTTTTGAATGAAGATTTGCTATTGAAAATTTGAAGGAAACTTTAACAGCCATGTCCCACTATGGGCGCAACAACATATGGTTAATTTAATTTATAAACTTTGCCGATGAAACAGTACATTGCATAACAGGACAAAAACAAACTCATTTAACGTACATAATGAAACACAGTACATGACCACGGATGGGTGACCGCAACAGCGAATAACCAATTACTGCGGGCTCGAATAGCCAATTACTGCGGGTTGACAGACATTCCTTGAATTTAAAACCATGGTCAGCTAGAACACTACAGTATATGTTTATGCACATGCAGATTTAGCACAAAAATACTCCGTTGGTCTGCAGGAAATTATTTTTCCTGCCCTGCGGCGTCAAGACCATTCTGTGATGTAAACAGCTTCTTATCGTCCATTTTTATTGTCTTGCTATAGGTTCGATCACGCGAAAACCTAATTGGATTCGACTACACTCATAACATTGGTTTCCTCAGCAATCCCAAGAGATTCAATGTTGCAATTACGAGGGCCCAGGCTTTGATGATCGTTATCGGTAACCCGCATGTCTTGGTACAGGTAGGATGTAATGTTGTGTGGTTATGTTATGGTTGAACACACGTGGAGTGTTTTATCTGGTTGAAGAAGGTGTGGGGTAGCCCTTCGTGTTGGAGGGAGGACTTTGATAGCCTGACCTGGGAGTTTTCGTTCACTTGACCTCACGTTGAAAATGCAAACCTTTTCGGTTTCAATAAAAATAGCGCGTATTCTCGGAACATTCGTTCTGAGAACTGTACCCTATTATTTGTCTAGAGGAGGCTCTTTGGCATCGATGAGTTAATGGGCTTAAGGCTTGTTTAGACAATCAAACTTTCTGTGATCACAGGAAGATTTTTGGACAGGCAAATTCTAAGTTTTGAAGGATTTGTAAGAAATGTTTGAGGGGACTGACTTGACACTCAGTAAGTTTCTTCAAACATTTCTTACAAATCCTTCGAAACTTAAAATTTACCTATGCAAAATTCCTACTGTGATCACAGAAACTTTGATTGTCTAAACCAGCCTTTATATTAACTGTGAAGAAGACATTGTCTTCGCTCAAAATTTTGGACACTTTAAAGCTACATCTATTCTAACTTATTTTGAGTATTTACAGCACTGTGGGTAATCTTGAACCAAGATTGTTCTCATGCTGTTGCAACGCTGTTAAAACTACCAACAGTTTTAAGCCAAAATGGCGTGAAACCACGTCCCTTCATAGGGACGCAAATTGATAATATTTTACACTTGAAGACAGTGTAAAATTATAATTTAGTAAATGTCTTTTGGACGGTATCAACGCCGTCAAATGACATTCAAAAGATGCACTGTTTCGTGTTTTAGGACACTAATTGGCGGGCGTTATTGCAATATTGCTTGGATAATAAGTCTTACATTGGGTGTGATTTACCCAACTTGAACTCGCATGTCGAGAGTGAAGATCATGTTACATCAAGTGAATCGAATAACGAAGGGCAAAGTACGAGTGAATTAAAGAATTCTGTTGAGACTGTATGTAACAACGTTGTGTCTGCTGGTAGCACTGTTCAAGCCACAAGCGAAGAAAATGGCCAGTGTGTCAAAAACGAAGTTGAGGAAGATATGAAGTCAAGTAAATTGCATAGCGATGGTTGTGGTCAAAATGTGAGCCAGCATAAGAGTTCTGTTGAAGATATATCTACCGGCGTCAGGCTTGTCGATGATGGTCGAACCTTTTGCAAAGAGAATGTCGACCATTGTTTTAAGAAAAATGAAACTGATTTATGTAAGGATGATAGGAGTCAACTACACAATTCTGTCGATGAAGCTACATCGAATAATGATTTTGAGCCTTTCAGAAACACTTTTAATGGAGGTACTGAAAGCCATGGTAGCTCAATAGACGCTACAGATGGGACTCCTATGGATAAACTAGACCCTGTGAAGGACATCGATGGTTCGAGACGGGATAGTGGAGGTGTTTCTATGAGTGAACTGAATATATCTGGTGTAGACGTGGATGGATACACAAGGGATAATGTTTGTATTTCCATGGATAAATATGGTGGTAGTATTTATATGGATAACCTAGACATCAAAGGTCAAGATGGAGTAAGTAGGGTGAATGAGGGTGTTTGTGGTTCCTCTATGGCGTACTGTAAACACGATTGCGTGGCCAGACACAGCGAACCCAAGATAATAGAAGGCAATGGAACTCATACTCAGGATATTGATTTAAGCCAGTCATCAAAATTACTTTCAACCGTTGAAAAGATAAATTGTTTTGATAATGAAACTCCTACGCGGTCTGTAGCTCAAGATAATGTTGATGAAAGTTCAGACGAGGATCTTGATGAGATTGTTTATGAAGGTGACAAGGAGTAAATATTATGAACGAACGTGATGTTATTGAAAACATATCACTGATCTTTAAGCGAAACCGGATAGCGCAAGAAAATACATTTATATATTTTGTAACAAAAATCTAAGGGAGAATATTTTATAAAGGTGTTTGGGTAATATTACTTTAAATAAATGTTGAAGTTCAATTGGGTAAAAGAAATTAAGAGCGTAACTGTCACAACATTATTGAAAGGCAGGTCACGTTGCCCGAGTATCTATATTGTGTGTAAGCCCTCGCAAAATAAATTCCTTGATTATCATCAGTACATATTAAAAATGTTGAAGAGGCGAGAGGTTGATATTCTATATTTTATGTAATTTATATATCAATGCATCAAGAAATAATTAATAACATTTTAATATTTCTGTGATTCCGAAGTGAATTCAGTGCGCACATTTCTGTCATCTTCAACGCCCAACAGCAACGTAGCTCCGCGAACAATGACTGAACCCTAGCTTGAACTGAATGCAAAGCCCCTTTGAAATGCAATGAAATTTCCTTCTTGTTGTGATTGTTTGAAGTTGGCAGTTTAAAATGACACTAAAAACCCAGTATAAAATATAAAAAACTTAACTGTCTTGCATGAAGAAGACACTGTAGACAGGAGTGTTGAAACGTTGGGTCGTGAATGCAATTCAACTGGGCTTTGCATTCATTTATTAAAAACCACAGTATAGCGAGCGAAAACATGACTGTCTTGAAATATTTTGTCCATTTTGTATAACGAAATATAGAAAATATTCACGCAGCTTTTAAAATACAGTCGCCGGTTATGAGGTCGTATGAGAATCTAGGAATTTCATATTTTATGTGGCGTAAGACTAAGTCCAAATTTAACAGCGCCGCAGCTATGCCTATGGCTATGAGAAAAGCTGTTAGAAAATTCAATTAATTGCATGTTGCGCTATTAAGATCTAGTCCAGTAGTATAGCTGTTCAATTTAGGTTAAAAAAGTGCAGTTTTAATTACTCCATGTATAATAGGTTTGTTTGTTAGCTTCCGGGCTCAAAAAATGACGGGAAGCTAAACATTAATCTTTTTTCTATACACTTCCCGAATGTATAAAACGTAAAAGGAAGTCTTATATTTAAATCACTTTTCTCTTATCGCTTAAAATAAAAATAATTTTATGTTTCTTTGACTTTGTCATGCCGCCTTTTATCTATCTTGAAATCTTTATTGACTTCCGTGTTTTTAACGTCCCACTATATTATTGAACAATTTGCGTGGGATATAGCTATAGGACGGCAAAAGACCTATGTATATCTAAAATTATAAACTCGAACGATCTAGCCAGTGGCACAGTGTAAGTAGTGACATTAGCAGACAGCTGCGGGAAAATATACAAGCAAAACTGCAGAAGTTTTACTCGCGTATTTCTCTGAGAGTTAAATCCCAGTCCCGCTAAATCTTATCTAAAATTATATGCGACTGTGCATGCACGTAGTTTAAAGGCAAATTTTAGAAAATTATAATTCTACATATAAGTAATACATACAAAGTTCGAATTAAAGTACGTTTTTCCACACAACGATGAATCGGGCCGAGTCAGCTTTAATTAAATGATATTTGAAAAATACGCTGTCAACATCTGCATGGCGACATCGTCAACTGAGAACATTCGTCATTAACATTCGGCAAAACCTCAAACCGACCCGACTAATCGTTGTGTGTAAACCATAGATATTTATATTTCTATGGTTTAAACGTAGCTTAGGCCGGGAGTATCTATTTGGAGCGGGGAGCGGATAAAAAGAGCGAGTAATTTCCCCAGGAGCTAAGCGCTGGTGGAGAATTTCCAAGCAAAAAGAGTGTAAACAACATGAGGGCCATTTTTACTAATACAGGATATAATAGATACTCCACTTTATGCCCGTTCCAGACGGCGTACTTTTCATCTGCCGGCACTGGAGCGACACAAGAACAGTTATTCAAACGGCGTACGAAATATCTATTAGAGACCTTACGATTTTAGGACGGCGACGGCCAAAACAAACTCCTTCAAATAAGTGGTAGTAAAGATAGTTCGTGGTATATTATTAATCGTATGAATTTAATACAGTCTTAGAAGTTGAAGACATGGGTTTTATGGTTGGGAAGAGTTCTGCTAAACCCATTATGAAGTTGCACTTGTTGTGGCTTGGAATGCAGCTGTTGTATCAAGACGTGAAAATCTGTGATTTGGCGTTGTAAACAGAGCGAGGACAATATCTAAATTATTCATATATTGTCATTACTCAATTCTTTTCAATGATCTATTGTATTGGTAGCCGTTGCCGTCGCGTTGCCGTCGGCCTAAAATCGTAAGGTCTCCATTGACAAGATTGGGCCGGCGCATTCGCCAGCGAAACCTAAGTAAAATTCAAAACAAATAAGTCTATTTTTAAATTACAAGATGGCTTATCTAATGCTATAATGGAACAAATTTTAAAAGTTGAGTAAGGTTTGGCTCATAAGTGGAGCGACGTATGAATCAATGTTCCTCCAACGTCGCATAAGGACTGTCGAAAAAATCAGATTTTTTCCCCACCCCAGACCTGTCGAAAATTTTAAAAATTACTAAACTTTGTGTTCAAAATTTACTAAATCGAGAAAAATTGCATAACCTGAAAACCCACTAATTTTCTATTCCATGTTTGAAATTAGCGAGTTTTGCAGGTGTAAGAGCGTTCCATTGGTATTAATTGCTTTTAGCACTTCTGTTATACAAGATGTATATCGTTCAGACACGATTAGTTTTTTTATAAAAAAAGTACCAAAATTTTACCAAAAAAAATTTCAGACTAATTTTTTTCCAAAATTGACAAAATTTTACCAAATATGATCACACTGAATAGGAGGTCTGGGAACTAATTGCGGTTAAAGCGTGCGTTAAAGCGTGCGGTTAAATTTGCAAATCACTGAGTTATCTCTACTGAGGATAAGCCTCATCTGATATGTATTTATATATAGTAAGCATTGCTGCTTTACATACAAGAAAACAAACATGACTGAAGGATGTTTTTTGTGCTTTTGTTGTTATTTTTCAATCACTTTTTGAGAATGCACTCGACATGCAGTATTTGTTTCACCACTGCAAAAAATTTACTCAAAAAAGTACACCGAGAATGACTCAAGAATTTTAGTCAGGGGTTGAAATTTACATTTGCTTTTACCGTAAAACTGGAATAGTAAATTTTGAAATTTACTATTCCGTCTGAAGATCCATTATTCTTGTTTGTCTCCGAGAGCCTGTTCAACACAAGACCTCTTTTATACCATAGACTGAGAGGCCGGGGGACTTGTCCCCCCAGAACCCTGTTTTGGCCCCTCCAGTGCATGAACCATGTTGTTCCCCTTCCCAGTGAAAAAGGGAAGATTAACTTAATTAAGAAGAGTATTTTAGTATTCCCATGACCAAATATTTGTCTAGCGGATGAAATATATAAAAATTTATGTCTAAAAATATCGAAAATCAAGCCCACTTAAAAAATACAAAATTTTTCTGTGCCAGACAAGTTCCTACTTTTCTCGTTCACCACCTCCTAATTGGGTCCCTTTCTCTTGATGGTCCCTCCACTGACAACTCCTAACAGTAAAAGAGGCCCTGGTTCAACAGGCTGGTGTCTAAGCCACAAGACCTCTGAACTGAAGTCAGCAAACAAACAAGCCTTGTTCTATAAATAAAGTGTTTGCTGTTATTAAATGCACGTACATGCAGAAAGTCAACTACAGTACAATATCAGCAAACATGTAACAGTAAAATTATCTTCATATAACACTTAACTGATAACACTTAATTGATAACACTTCCTCAAAACCTCATTCACCACTTATACTACTGTCTATATAGTAGTAAATCAAGAGGCAATTTTTTCAATCATTTCGCGTATTTGCAATGCATGAAAAGTGTTCCAAACCTAAAATCTTTTTGGCGTTCCTCTCAAAATTACTTTGTTTTAGCTTTAGTTTGTAGTTTACAAAGTTAGCAACCTTCTTAGATTTGAGAAACACAAAATAATAACATTGTCAATTTAAATACAATTATCATTGATGCCGTAAATTTGACGCCATATTTAATTTATACAGCAATATAAGCAAAACTTACTGAACTTCAGAAATCATTCTCTCTTTGGCGTACCATCTAAAATCTCTTCGTTTTAGCATTTGCAGATAAAACATTAAACATAAGTTTGTTTGCCGCTTACGAAACGTATCAAAAATTTAAAATTTGAATATAGTCATGACCAAGCGGGAAAAATATATTAAGTAGTTTTGAGCGCGTGTCACGTAACATGCATACAAAATATTTTCCTCTTAAATGTGTGTTTAAACAGGGTTCGTAGCGGTCTTTGAAATCCTTGAAAGTCTTTAAATTTGAATGCAGGTCTTTAAGGTCTTTGAAAAGTCTTTGAAGTGTGTGAAAAAGCGAAGAAAGTCTTTAAAAGTCTTTAAATTCTTTAGTGATTATTTGATTATACGATTTCCTAGCTAATAAAATAGATTGATTGAAGCAAGATTTTCGCAAATATCGACGAAAAAGTGCATTTTAGGATGTGATTTGACGGGACTAATTACTGGGTACAAATGGTGCTTATACATCGCAATTTTTCGACACCTGATTGCTGTCAAAGGTCTTTGAAAAGTCTTTGACAATAGGCAGAAAAAATCTTTGAAAGTCTTTGAAATTTTTTGTTCTTGGAGACTACGAACCCTGTTAAATGACCACTGGTAATTAAAGAAAAAGATAATAAATCAATTATTCGCTTTCTAAGTCATAGTATGATCCCCAGCTGAATTTGAAGTGCTTCAATGTTATCTGCAGTTTGGAAACATTATAGTTTCCTGCATTTTTCTGTCCACCCGCACTCTCCCTAAATCTCAGCCCGCACATCGCCCTGGCACTTAACATGGCGGGAAAATGGGCTTCGGTGGGAAGAAGTTATTTCGCTGACCTCAAAATGACATTTCGTCAAAACTTTTTTCTTCAAGATTGGTTTAGAAACAAACTTGGAGTAGGGTTAGGGTAAGGAGTATAGGGTTAGAGTTAGTGTTTGGAATAGGGTTAGTGTTAGTAAAACCGTCGTCAAAGCAAGCGCTTTCATCTCTGAGTTCGTGGGTTTGATTCTCGCTACGGATGCATGTGAAAAGAGTCAGTCAACGCTCTGCCGAAAGTCGTGTGTTTTCTCCGGGCGCTCCGTTTTCCTCCCACAGGGAAAGTTGACAGGGTGGGTTAGGATAAACACAGTCAAGAAAGTAATCGCAATTGTTGTAAATTTTTTCTGTGTTGATGTTATGTACTCCAGTGAATATGATGTTTGTGATGTTACTCTGAGTGTATATCCACACCGGGCAAGCTTGCAAAATATGCCTGGCCACGGTGGGAATCGAACATACGACCTTTGGAATACTAGCCCAATGCTCTGCCAACTGAGCCACGCGGTCAGGTCGGTTCGAGTATGTGATATTTTGGAACTGAGTCTAGTTCCTTCGATATCAATGCAATGTGAGTACATAACACCAACACAGAAAACTTCATGATTACTAGATTGCATTGATATCGAAGTTCCGAAATATCACATACTCGAACCGACCTGACCGCGTAGCTCAGTTGGCAGAGCATTGGGCTAGTATTCCAAAGGTCGTAGGTTCGATTCCCACCGTGGCCAGGCATATTTTTCAAGCTTGCCCGGTTTGGATATACACTCAGAGTAACATCACAAACATCATAATTGAGCTAACCGCCTCGCGAGGCAGCTAGCTCAGCTATGTATTTTCACCGCACACGTTGGGAAAACTACTCAACAACAACATAATTGACAAAATCATTTGCATTTTCCTCCATTTTGTTCCACGTCACATGAAGAAACTATGGTTTGTCATTGGCTAATTGATTCAAACAGCTCAGCACTTAGCTCACAACATTCGCAGACGCTGAGATTTTTTCCTCGCGAGGTGAAAAATATCAAACACGATAGATATTATCCTCAAGGCCTTGAGAGGTCAAATCATTACCAAAACTATCCGCACACGAGAGCAACTTGCTGAGCTATAGCTGCCATGCGAAGCGGTTAGCTCAGCAAGTTGCTCTCGTATGCGGCAGGCTTAATGTAAAAAGTTGCTCTATCCATAATCCAGTCTTTATATGAGATCAGTGCTTCTAGAGTGCACATATCGTGACGGCAGACATGCATCATGCCGTCTCTGTTGATTAATTTCATAGAAATATGCCTTAATCAAGTCTCTAGACGTCGTACACTTATTGTCATTCATAAGCATTCACAAAGATTTATATACTACGTCCATTGCCTTTGAAATTTTTAAGTATACCGAAGTACCGAACTACATTAATTACTCCTATTACGTTGCATTACGTATCTATATTATCTTCACAATAATAAACAGTTGTATATTGGATGAGGTTTTTGTGATATCCAGAATTATAAAAGACGACAAGCCCATACAAGTGTTATCAGTCTAGCCGAAGGCAAGATTGATAACACTTACTGAGACCCTGATAAATCGGGATATCACAAAAACCGAATTCAATAACTGTTTTATTATACATTGCATTTTCATTAACTCTTTCGACAAACAATGATTTGTCGCACAAAACAACATTTAAAATATCACAATAGCAGCGTCAAAATATTAGAAATCGTATTTATACCTACTAAAGTTCCGATAAAAACATCAAACAGGACTGATTTTTGCACAAAAAAATTCACGAAAATGCCGTTCGTTTGTGGGTTTTTTGTTTTTATTCGTATATTTAAAACTGACGTTTGCTATATAAAATTACTTACCGAACACAATTGAATCGCATTTTATGCATGGGAAGTTATTTAATGTTTTCAAATGTTTGTATATCGTTCAACATATGAATATGATTAAGTGCTGATTCATTTGACCACAGTTATTTTAATAGATGGTTTTGAGACTCGATGAAAGTACAATATAACTCATTAACTATGTTATTGTCCAGCTTTATGCAAGAATTTGGTCCTATCTCGTCATGTGGTATTGTACTTTCGCTCAAATAACCAATAACAAGTTTGTGGTTGAGTTATCCATCCGTAACTTGTACAAATGCTCAATTTAAACATTGCTATTGGTTGTGCGGGAAAAATACAATACACACGTGACGAGATAGGCCCAAATTCTTGCATAAACCGAAAGCAACATAGTTAATGAGTTATATTGTACTTTCATCGAGTGTCCAAACCATTCTATTAACTGTGAATTGACACTGCGAGTAAAACAGTAAAAACTCTTTACATTTATTTCTCTAAATTCCATCTACAAAAAAACCATCCAATATTTAGCTCAATCAAGTGATACATCCCCAAAATCCTAATATGTAGCCATGCATAGATACCTTAACATATAGAGCTATCGTTTTGCTTACCGCTACATACCCCGCTCACGTGCAGAGCGGGGCAAAGTCAGTGAAGGCTCTTTAGAGAATCGTGAGTGTTCTCAGGTATACTCAATCACATTTTCCCTGAGGGGGATTTGCGTGGGTTATAGTTCACGCAATGATTAAGAACGTTATAATCGCAATTATTATGCACTGTATAGTCACTATACGTGTCTTCTGCATGATTGGCCAGTAACTTACAGCTAGTAACATTTATCCGAAATTGGTGTTTTAAAATATTTGCGAAATATTTAAGAGCCTAAAATATTATTTGAATATTGTGTCGTGACAAAAAATATTGGGTCTGTTTCAATGAAGGTTTTTTTGCAGATGAAAATTAAAAGTATAAATTATATATATTCAGTACCTAACAAAAAACAGCTAGGAAAAATAGTTTGTAATAAATGTATATAATTTACACTCAAAATATCATCTACGAAAAACATTCAACACTTAGTTCTATCGACCCAGATCCTAATATTTAACCATATATCTTTACATGGAGCTATCATTTTGCTTAACGCTACATATATATACCCTAGCCTCACGTGCAGAGCGGCGGGGAAAGATCGATGGGACAATGAAGGCTCTTAAGAAAATCGTGACTTTTTTCAGGTGCTAAGGGGAATTTACTTGCGCGTGGGTTCCCCGAGGCCGACTGATAGGGGATTTACTTGCGTGGGTTCGTTCACGCAATGATTAAGAAAGTAATAATCGAAATTATTATACATTATAATAGTTTTGTTTGTAGAAACACCACGTAAATTTATAAATGTTTTATCCCCATGCAAACATACAAAGAACATATTATACATTGTAGGCCAATAGCACAGAATAAAGATCAGTACCAGAAGGGCCACTCAGCGGTGCAACGTGTCGCCATTTTTCTATGCGGCCAGAATATGCAGTTGACTGGCCAGAAGGCGGGGCCTTCAGCCAATACAGCGCGTTTATTGGCCAGAAAATGTAATCGACTGGCTAGGAAGATGGCGGCCAGGGTGGCCCTTCTGTGTGCCTTACTCTGTGCCAATAGCTTGCGCATAACACTGATATCTTGTTCCAGATAGAACCAATGAACTCTATCTAAACTGAGTTTTGAGCTGAAATACTTGATTACAAACATTGGGCTATATATCAAACTGAAGCTATTGAAAATTGCTATTCGGTGTGGAAATTTCAAGACTTTGGCGAAAAGAAAAATATTTCAAATTATCGGCAATTATTTTTGTAGTTTTTAAATATTTCCCTTTTAGCTAAAGTCTTGAAATTTCTACACCAAATAGCGTTTTTCAATTGCTCCAGTTTCATATACAGCACAACGTTCAGTGTCGTGTATTTCTGCTCAAAACTCAGAGTTCACTGGATAGGAATCAGGCATTCAAATTATAACAATAAGATGAATTTCTAAAGGGCAGTAGTGTCAAGGAACGAAGTAAATGTACTTCGTAAGTGTACTTGAGTACTATTTTTGAGAAGTTAGCATGTAACAAAGTAAACTTTTTCTGGAGTACTTTTACTTGCCAACGAAGTCGTTTTAAGCCGGTAACGTTTTACTTCGTTATTTTCATTTTGTGGCGAACTATTTCGTTACTTTCTCAAATTTGTTTAATTTTACGTGATTTAGTCCCGTAATAGCATAGTTGCCCGGGTTTCTTTTGTTTCAACAGGGACGTTTAATCACGTATCGCCCGCTGTAGCGGGCGATTAGTTCTAATCGCCCGCTAGAGCGGGCGATTAGAACTAATCGCCCGTTACCAAGGGTCACACCTTTGTCTCCCTGACGACTACGCATTAGGCAAGTGCCTCACGCACATAATCGTGCAAGGAACAGCAACAGTTAGCTCAGAGCCGTCAATAGTCTATCATCCGATCCCTGAGTTGCCGCATCATTTAAATTACGCACGTGCAGTCTCCAAATTTATACTAATATATTTAGCGTGTTTGTTGTGGTACGTTAAATGATAGATTGCGCATGCGTAACCGATTAAAGCGTAAAAAGTGCGCATGTGCAACAAGCTTTTACATCCCACAAGCAATGAAGCAAATGTTTTAGCTTAAATACGCTGATTCCAAGTAGGGCATGTTTGTCCATTTTTAAATGGGAGCGAAACTATGCTATTACAAACTAATAGCATGGCTTTTCGGGAGATTAGTGATTAAATGACCCCTTACCCTCGGCAGGTTTGCGGAATTTCCTCGGGCTTCGCCCTCGGGAATTCCGCAAACCTGCCTCGGGTTACGGGGCCATTTAATCACTAATCTCCCTCAAGCCATGCTATTACTTATAAATGTATTTAAATTTTGGGATATGGGTAATAGGAGCTCTACATGCGTCTGGGATTCCTCGTTTGTGGCTTACTTAACTTCAACGGGGTCTGGAAAGTAGACCATGCCGTGAAATATTGTGTATTATGATGCACGCATATAATGCGTGTGCTGTTTTGTGTCTTTTAATAATTTAACAATCCATTGGAGAAGTCCCCCCCGCCCCCCCTACACGCTATAGACAATAGTACTTTTACTTTGTACTTCAAGTATTTTTTAAGGATACTTTGTACTTTTTACTTAAGTGCGTTTTGCCTCCGGTACTTTTTACTCTTACTCAAGTCGTTTTATTGTT